GTTCTACCTTTGCACCAGTTTTCATATATTAACCCTATTATATTGCATCCGCCTAGCGCTGCACAGGTCCACCACAACAAAAGCTTTAAAATGGGATCGATAGTCCCTATAAAAATGCAAGGCCCATTTATTAAAGTTAAGGGGGAGAGAGTGAAGGATCATTACAGTTAAAGATCATTCTTATTGTTCCCGATGCCATCACTAGTGTCTTTCTGGACCCAAGGACATTTTTTCATCTTGGCTTTTAAAAAGAATAGTCTGATGAGCGTTGTGTTCATAAGCCATTTATGAAACATTCAGGAAGTCTCTGCAGAGTTTATACGCCTCCGAGAACTTGTAAAATGCCTCTGAGGGCTTCTAAGTGCCTGTTAATAGCGGCTTGGTACAAAGTAAATGCTTTGTAAGTACGTGTTGACTGGGGTGCACTTTAGATTAGTGTTTACACGTTAATGACCAAAAAATGCTTTTGTGTACTATGGTTGCTCATTTGTCAAGTCTCCTGCAACAGGAGAGGGGGTGGGCCTGTCATGGGGGAGCCAGGGACAGGAGCAGTATCACAGTATTAAAGCCTGCATGTGGCAAACATTTCGCTGTCTGCTTACGCACATTAAGCCCTTTGGCCCAATGTTCTCTTTTGGGCTGGGATCCAGAAGATGTACCAGCCGACCCCTTTGAGACCCTATATGTGCAGGCCCTAAAAGGGGTTTTCACAGTTTTCGGAAAATTATCTCACAATGTCCTAAAGTTAATCTGACCTGAGGAAAAGGTGAAGGGTTTCATTGCGGACTTCTTTCTGAAAATGCTAGCAGCCTGGCTGTCATTAATGCTAAATCACTGACCTGGGACAAGTATGCAGGTAAGAAAAGTCCTTCCCTGCATATCTTGGTCAGTGAACTCATTAAAACAAGAGGACCGGTACACAAGCCAGTTGACTAGCAGTTTCAGGACATGTCAGAAATGGCAGCCTCTGGGTTTCTCTCATGGCAGGTTTACTTTAATATGTCAAAAGGTTAAATTACACATCAAGTATATGGAAGACAATGTAACTTACAGCCGTATAACCCTGCTAGGCATTTATGAGAACAGCTGCACGCTGCATGAGACACGCTAGCCCTTGCACCCTCCTGAGACTGAAGACATTTTGTGCTACACTAAACTGCATCACAGCCGCTCCATGAAAACTGAGGGACGTCCATGGGAGGTGAGGTAAGAGAGTAGAAGTGATGCATTGTAAGCACGCTACACACCTGACTGTATGTTACAAATATGGTACTTTTAAAGCAACCTTCTTTGACCGGTCTTCAATTAACATGCAAATCAGCATTGCAAATCTACACAGAGATCAATGATCTCTTTTAAAGCTCCACCTGACCTTCATTTTGCAATGCTCAGGTGTGTCACTGCAGGCTATGAACCCAAAGTGTGTGCAATCTAAAGTACTAGAGACAGCTGGAACTAGAACACAAATCTATTGTACAAACCCAACCGCTAAGCAACCCTGTATATCCAAAGTGGGACTGGAATGTGATTTTATTGGCTCCAGCAATGTATTATCCAGCCCATATTTCTATTGCTGGAAGAGTTATAGAAACCATCTACAGTGAATATATAATACATTTTCACAGACTCTGTGCAAGCGACAAGACATGTAAGAATCATTAAGGAAAAGTAGCCAGATCGGGCACAAAGTGCCTCGTAATGTCGGGACAGCTTGTAATCTAGGTGCTAAAAAAGGAGGAATGATGTACATGAAAGAAAAGTTTGTGACCCTCTGGTAAAAGACACGTTAATGAAACCTGGACCAGCAACACGTGAATTGCTCATTGTTCATGCCTCTCCTACTGCATGAATGGACAGACTATATGTTGCCAGGTTCCAAGTGGCACTGATTCCAGGAAAATGTTGCACTGCTGGGGTACATGGCTGAAAAGTAACATAAAGGCATGATAAATGAACATATCTGGCTTACATCTATATCTTAGACAGGGAAGACCCATTCACAGATGAAAGTAAAATGTGAGCAATGTCACAGAGGGATCACCTACAGTAATCCCGAACCATGACAAATATCAGCTGCCTCAATCTCAAGTATCTTGACGCAAGGACTTTACTTGGAGTTAAAAAGGACGTTCACATACGTAGTCGAGACATTAGTAATATTAACATGTGACTAGCGAGTAAGCGCACGTTAGTCTACTAGGACAAGTGATATAGGCAGCATTCTACAGGCAAAAAAGACACACAAATATAGACACACAGCTGTTAATCAAAGTAGATGGCGGTGCCGCTGCAACCAAGCGACTTGAAATCAAAGCATAAAAAGCACAGAAACGTACAACTTCGGCCATCCATAGACATAAGACAGGGCTCGCCAGACCTCGATCTTTAATACAAAGAGGAGTATGAAAAATGTTCAATAAATAATTGACTTCATTTGTTTGCCAAATAAAAATGTGACGCTGCCAGATAAGATTGGAACTCTTTTTCTACATAAAGGAAACATCAAAAGTTGACCTCAGTTGTTTGATTATCTTAGGATGGCAAAAAAGGACACACCATCCTGCCAATGGAAACAGCTGAAAAATTCCAGTCCTGCTAAATCATTTCTTATCACCACAAAATGTGTTTCATATGTGGGAACGAGCTTTCTTCAAGTAGGTATATACTGGTAGAATGTCATACAAATAATCTCTTCAGAACATTGCAGAATGCCATTAGAGACTTGACAAATGTTGTTTGAAAATGGGTTGCTTTTATCATTCAATTCTGAAATGAATGGAGCTTCCCGAAAACCACATTTATTGTTAGGCCCCTTTCACATGGAAGTCCGATCAGGTCTGCTCGTCGGTTTTTCAAGCGGATCTGATTGGAAGCTCAATGTTACTCTATGGACAGCCGGATCTAAAGGGACATGAATCTATTTACATCAGATTGCCACCGACTCCGTCTAGGTCTGAAAAAATGGCACAGAGTTCCGTTTCGGCGGATCTGATCACGACAGATCGGAGACACATGTCTGCTTACATGCGACTCCTATCCTCCATCGCAAGTTCTACTGGCGTGTGGTCAGCTTAAGATGTTTGCCTCAGAATCGCCCGTATCATCTCACTGCTATCTTATGTCTATAGACACCATTAGGGATTTAATGATAGAAGCCAAATACTCTCCGGGGTGTGCTTGTCATACTCCGTTCAACTATCAAGATGATTGCACAGACCTGTGTGCTGAGCATTCACAAGTGGCAGAGAAGACAATCTGGGTGTCTTACTGATAAGGAACTGACAAAGTAAGTTTATGCAAAAGTGTCTTCACTGAAATACGTTATCATTCTATTAACTTTCCAAGTAATAGGAAACCTATACCTACGGAACAAAAATGCAGATTAGAAGTCAGAGGAAAGTCAGGCAGCTAGAGTTTCCAGACCAGGTTAGCAATGACAGCCTCCATATATCCCCAGACCAGGTTAGCAATGACAGCCTACATATAACCGCAGACCAGGTTAGCAATGACAGCCTACATATAACTGCAGACCAGGTTAGCAATGACAGCCTACATATAACCGCAGACCAGGTTAGCAATGACAGCCTGCATATAACCCCAGACCAGGTCTACCTTTAGTTAAATTTAGATAGATACTGGCATCTCAGGGTAGCTTCTTTTTGGTGCAGAAACCGGGAGCTTCTTGCATAGGATGGTCTGACACTTTTGGGGTTCACTTAGTGTTAGGGGTAAAAGACTGAGGGTTAGGATAAGTTGTAGGGGGCTAAGTGGTAGCCTAAATCTTACAGGTAAATGTTCCCTTTTTTTTTTTTAAAGTACAGCTAAAGATTAAAGCTAGGGTGCAGGGGTCCATTTCTGAATGTTTTCACACATGATTCACACAACTGTCACCCAGGATTGACATCCAATCAGAGAAAGGTGGGAAAGGTGTAGAAACATGTATAAATAGACCACTAAGTGTTTGGGGGAGGTAAAGTGTTAAAGTGTATGTCTGGGCACAATAAATAAAAAAACATGCTGTATATTTCTGCAATACATGCTCTTCACTTCCTGTAGAGAGATCCCCTCTGCTGCAATGAATCCCAGTCTATGCTATCAGTCCTGACTGAGGTCTCCCCTGTTACACTACAGAACACCTACCATCTATGTAATGAACACGAGGAAAGGAGGAGATGTGTAGTAATCCACAAGGGGAGACCTCAGGTCAGGACTGACAGGAATTTTAGTGCAGCAGAAGCAGCGCTGTCAGCCAACATTAGGAAGTTAGGAACTCACTCGAGTTTTTGGCAAGATTATCTGGTATTTTTCTGTACTTACAGAAGCAGCGTTGTCAGCCAACATTGGGGAGTAAGGAATTCACTGGAATTTTTGGCATGATCATTAGGTATGTTCCTGTACTTACAGTGTATTAATAGACAGAACACAGGGAAAAGTGCATGCATTACAGAGAATGAATAGCGAATATGGTTTTTTTGCATTTTGCAAAGACATACACTTTAAGGGTTAGACTAAGTTTTAGGTCGCAGGTGAGGGTTAGGTAGCCTGAAGGGTCAGGCGCTAAGAGGGACACGTCTTTTTTAAAGCCTGTTTTGTGGTGCTGAAAGTCCAAAACTGACAACTTCCGGGCACCAGGCAGTGAATGGCCAAGACTAGTTTACTACCTGTCCGGAACGCCTGCAGAACAAGACCTACCACTAGAAAGCCCCCTACTGCATGAAATGCCCAATAACAGACAACAGGCCGCACGACTTCCCGTTAGGTAACTTCTGCTGCTCTAGGTTTACTGATTCTCAAATATTCATATGCATTATTTAACCTCTATGGTTCTCTCCAATGAGGCTGAAATCAGCAGCCCACACACAATACTTGCCATTCATTTTGCATGTAACAATCATAGAAATCTACTATCCTTTGCAGGATTACATACAACATATAGTGAATGAAGCACAGTGACATTGTGCCATCACTTGCTTCATTCCATGACCTTGTACTTGACCTCAAACATATCTCAACGGTTCTATACACCCACACCAAACCTACACAAATGCTGCCTACACATCAGCATGACTAGAGAGCCCGTCTGACCCCAGAGGACCCATGTAAAGTCAATAGAATCAAAGTTTTTTTCGTAGTAGTCTCCAACTGGTGTATTCACAGCTACAACATCCCTGGTATAATGAAGAAGAAAAAAAAACCTACATATTTAAAGCTGCTCTGATGCAAAGACACTCAGGAATAAATAATAGCATTTTGTTGTGTCTGGTTACATTTTGGATAGTAAAAGTGTCACAAAAAAACAAAAACAAAAAAACACTATTTTCATTTCATTGCCACTTTTCCTTATTACATGTTCTGTGTTTGTTTTGTTGTTTTTTTTTTGTTTTTTAGAAAATTACATTCTCTTTTTTTTTTCCACCATTACTCTTGTACAAAATAATAAGTATTTATTCTGCTATGTCAGTATCCCGAGTCCAGGACAGCCAGAACCCACAAGGCGAGCAAACTCTTCCTCCATAAAGCGATGCATGTTTCATAGCGCTGCAATGGCCTGAAAGTGTTAATAAGGGGTAACGTCTTTAGTATGACTCTCAGATAAGCGTTTCTTTCCAATCTTTAATTGGAGAAGGTCTTACTTGCTCCTTTGTCTTGTCTTTAGGTGGTTTGGACTCAGAGGCAGTGTCCCTCTGCAGCTGGGGTCTGCTGACTGCCTTCCCTGGCTCCTCTTCCTCCTGCAGCTGTTCGGACGTCATGCGCTGCATCTGTAACAGCCTAAGTTGAACGCGCAGCTCAATGATGGCCTCTCTCTCTTCATGAATTGCCTGGTTCAAATGGTTGTTCTTAATCTAAACAAGAGGCAGTTATTTAGTAAAAATGTATTGGGTGCTACAAGAGCAAGATGTGGATGTACAGGGAATGTTAAACAGATAGGTGGCTTTGTACATAACTTCTCTTTCTATCCTTGTTATGGACAAGACTAAAAAATAGAGGTGCACTGAAATAGAAATTTCAAAACCAAAATAATGAAATTGTCAGACTGAAACCGAAAATGTTTTAGGGGCTTTGGGGAAATATTAGGAGTCTAAACAGACCCCTGATATTTCCCTTTTAAAATAGAAAAAGAGATTGGAACAGTGTCCTCAGAGACACACAGAGCCCTCGATCTCTTTTTCTGTGTCCCCTATTATCAATGAACAGGAATCCTCTATGAGTCTTCCTGTTCATTGATAACATGAGGACATAGTATGTTTACTATAACCACAATCATGAATGAACAGGAGGTGATGTAGATCACTTCCCATTCATTCATAATTGAGGATATAGTCAACATGCCATATCCTCAATTATCTACAAACACTCAGCGATCACTGATCGCTGAGTGTTTGCACTCGCTCTACTTTCTGACACGCTGTCACAGGAGGCTGAGCGGGCGGAGCAGGGAGGAGAGCTCAGCCTCCTGTGACAGTGCTGTCTCCGCCCACACACCACCCTGCCAGACTGTGATAGGAGGCTGAGCGGTGTAGGAGGAGAGACATCGGCCGCTCACAGCGCTCTCCTCCCGCAGCGCTCGGCCGGCTGTCACTTTCTCTCCTCCCCGCTGGGACATAGAGCAGCGCCCAGCGGAGAGGAGAGAAAGCAGTGATGTGCCAATGTATCGGCAGGAAAATGGCACTTTCCGCATTTAGCCAAAAGTGCCATTTTCGGCCGATATGTTTTTCGGCGGCCGATATATATCGGTACATCCCTACTAAAAAATATAAAACAAGCAAACCTGATTTTTTTTCCAGCTAAATATAAAATATTACATATTAATATTATGTAGCCTGTTATCCAGCCAGCAGGACTGCTCTTCAGTTTCTCTGTAGCCTGTTCACAGAGATCAATAACTCAAGCTGAAACTTACACAGAGGGGAATTTATCAAAACTGGAGCAGACAAAATCTGGAGCAGCTGTGCATGGCAACCAATCAGCTTGTTCAGTAAAGACTTGAAAATGAAATGTAGAAGCTGATTGGTTGCCCTGTACAGCTGCTCCAGACTGTCTGCTCCGGTTTTGATAAATACCCCTCATAATGTGAGGAGTAACGCAGACCTAACTGATAAAGATCACTCAAAACTTCTCAAAGAGGGCAGTTGGCAACAAGAGTTACTTGTGGTGAACCTTCTTTAGCTAACCCATAGTGCTCTAGTTGTGTACTAAAGATGACATAATAAAGATTGTATACATAATGGAAATAAGAAAAAAGCATAACAGCAGTTTAAAAAGGTTTAAATAAAAAAAGACAATTACAACTTAGCTGAAAACATTATTGTTTCCCTTTAAGTAGTTCTGATAACAAAACAGTAAGCAAAACATTTATTTTGGAGATTGGAGAGGGTAGGGAAGAAGGAATAATGGGAAAACACTTCCGAAATCCACTTAAAGCTAGTCATGTAAAGTCAGATGTATGAAAATATCAAATAATACAATGTGCCTATTCACTAACCAGGCTCACTATGACACATTATTGTGTAATGGGTCATGTAGGTGTGTACAGCCCGACAAGAAGAGCCAAGGGCCACAATGGTAGCTTAGCGGAGTCATATTAAATCTACTCTCCACAGTGTCAATGTCAGCCAACATTCTACAAATGTGCTAACCTTGTGGCCTATCCATACACACCCTTCAGATAAGGCCTGCTCTTTTTTTTACTGCAGTAATGTAGAGGATACCAGACACCATCACATTATATAACCCACACATACATTTATACATACATACATACAGTATGTGTATGTGTATGTGTGTGTATATATATATATATATATA